TCCTGCATGGGTGTCCTTCTTTCCCCTCTTCACAAGCACTGCAGGAGGTTGGTAAACCAACAGTATCTTCCACCTCACCTTGACACCCTCCATGTGTTTTTTTCCAAGGAGTTGTGGACAGCTGGGAGGATCGACATCCTCCATATGCAGAGCTTGTTACCTTCAGACTGCCAGACTGAAGTCTTGGCTGCACACAGGACTGCATATGTTTGGCTAAACCTGTTTTGAACAATTTAGTTCACAGTCAGGAAGGTTGTGTGATGTTTTTATTCTGATTTGACTGTGCTTGCATCGCATTTAAATAAGGTAATCATCAGCCAGGTGAAGTTGAATCATAGAACCATAGAATGGTTTGGGTTGGAAGGGACCTTAAAGCTCATCAGTTCCAACTCCCCTGTTAGCAGCAGGGACACCTTCCACTAGACCAGGTTGCTCAAAGCCTCATCCAACCTGGCCACAGACACTTCCAGGGAGGAGCAGCCACAGCTTCTCTGGACAACCTGGGACACTGTCTCACCACTCTCACACCAAAGAATTTCTTCCTCACATCTCAGCTCCATCTCCCCTCTGACACTTTAAAGCCATTTCCCCTTGTTCTGTAACTCCCTGCCCCTGGCCAAAGTCCCTCCCCAGCCTTCCTGGAGCCCCTTCAGGTACTGGAAGGCCACTAGAAGGTCTCCTCTGAACCTTCTTTTATCCAGGCTGAACAGCCCCAACTCTCTCAGCCTGTCCTCATAGGAGATGTGCTCCAGCCCTCTGATCAATTAGACCATTCCCATATCTAAATTAGTATCCACTTCCCTATAGGATTTAAGCTGGATGCCATGATATATAATGTCAATGTATAAACCTCAGTTTACATGTCTCTGAGCTGTGTCTTGGTTTTGCTGCTATTTTATATAGATAGCAATGCTTACTGAGCTTTTTATTTTTTTAACACCAAGAAAGCCTCAGTGAACTGAAAATAAGTGAATCCAGTCCAGATTGGGAAGGACCAAACACTGTTATGTGGTAAGGAGGAGCAGTGGCTAAGTGGGTATAAAAATTACAGGTGGTTTTATTCTATTGCCTCTTTGGACATGTACCCATCACTACACCCTTCTGTTTGGTACTCCTCCCAGTCACCTCAGGAGAAGAATGAGGACTGGTTGAGGGTGAGACATATCTACTTATTTTCAGAGGTAAGCCCTTAGAATGTGTATGTGGGTTGATTTGGGAAGGCCTGCAAAATGCAAAGGCATTTTCTGAATTGGAGAGGAGAGCAGTCTCCAATATGACCAAACAAGTCCCTTTTTAAAAGAGCCCTTTAAAAAAGCCAGTGGAGAAGAAGTAGTCTCACCCCTGGGATTTGTAAGTGTCGCATCAGTGCCTTTGCCTCCATCTCCGCATCGGGTATCATCGAATGGGAGACACTGATCCCCAGTTCCAGCCAAGACCTCTGAATTCTTCACAATGTCTTTCACTGATGTGGTTGACTTGATTTTATAGATACGTCGACTGTTGGTGTCGGAGAGGTAGATGGAGCCGGTGATGGGATCTGTGGTCAAGTAATATTTATGAGCTGGGCTGTGGCTGAAAAACAAGGGTATGACGTTATTATTTCATGGATTATTTGTTTCCTAAAGTCAACAGGCAATGCAAGCACCTTAGAGAATAAAATACACAGGGCAGACAGACTGGGAAAGTGAAGCAGTGCCGTGTTTGACAACGTTAGTACACCCTGTGCCTGGGGTGCTCTCTGGCATGGAAAGTGGCTACTAAAGGAAAGGGCTTGCTAGCCCCCGCCAAAATCATGTCAGGAACTGCTATAGATTGAGTTCCAATGCCTGGGATTGCTTAATTTACTTAATATAGGCATAGTCTTGAAACTGGTGTTAGTGCAGTGCCAGGAAGTGAAGGGAAGGTGTAGCACACTAGGTGCAGAAAACAAAGGAAGAAATAAAAGGAAATCTGCCATCCTAAGAAAGACCCCAGGACAAAAACCCAAGAGCTGACTCCCAATTATAAAGCACTTGAAGATATACTCTTGAAAATCACTGCATCAAGGCTCATCTGGTGCTCTTCCTGACTCCAGCAAAGACCCTAGAGGCCTGTCATTCCCTTGTGGAGATTAGGGGAAGTCCTACCACTGAATTCATCTGGACCTCAATGAAGAGAGAAACAAAATGCTCCTTGGAGTGTCACGTTTTGCCCTAAGTAAAACATGAACTAGGAGGAGGGCTGAGGAACCCAAACATCAGTCCCCTGATAAACCCCATTCATTCCCTGATTCCTCAAAAACAAGAAAGGGTGGCTGTGAAAATGGGGTGAGAAGACAGAAAGATAATGTTTGTCGCTCCATGACTACAACACTAAATGAGCCCAAGAGTGAAGAAATGGATAAACCAGCATCCACTTTATGGAAGGCATTCCATGAGACTGGCCAAAAAAACCCCAACTAGAAGAGTTTAGACGCAATTTTAAAATTTGCCTTGCAAGGATTCTATCTATAGTTTAATATAGATATTAAACTTATTAACTACTTGTATTAAATTTAAGTGTTTACTACCAGTGTGTATTGAGCTGCATCTCTTCTAAGCCTGAAACCAACAGGTTAAACTTGTAACACCTGCTGCCTGACCATAGGTCTCCTTCCTTCTAAGAAAGGCTAAATAGTAATTAGAACAAATAGGAAAAAGGCTCTACTTTTCTCCAGAACACCTTCAAGCTGTCCAAAATCATCAGGTCCCAAGAATTCATAATAAATGTATAGGCCACAGTTCACAATTTTGCATTTAATGGAATTGTTCCAGGTGAAGCTGGATAGACACCTGAGTGTCGATCACAGTTGGCTCTGTCCCTCATAATAAGAAGTTTCCTCATTCTTTCAACATTTATGTTCGGAAAATTGACCCTCTTCAGACACATAAAAACTACTAAATTATTTCCCTGCTTAAAAAAGCTGTAAGTTGGTTCTTAATTTAAATTACTTAATACTTTGGGAGAAAAAAAAAACAAACCAAACAACCAAAAACCTTCTGATTTATTCTGGAATATCCCTTGTGATTTATCCTATTAAAGTCTGAACAGATTTCATCTCCACAAATGACACTGATTCTTGCTAAATAAAATGCTCTGACCTTCAAGACAGCTCCAGCCTGACAGTTCAGTCTCCATCTGTATTCCTTTCCAATGACAGCAGGCTGGTAGGGTATTATTTCATTTACCTGCATGTCACTCACACTAAGCAAGTGGCTTCAACCCTAGTGGAAGAAGTTCCCTGTGGAAATCCATCATCCATTTTGATCAGGGCCTTGTATTTTCCGCTGACTGTCCTAACAAAGCCCAGCTGAATGTCAGTCAGCTTTTGAGCTGTTCATAATCTCTATTTTGCATGGGAGGTGGACAAGAGGAGGACTTTGCAATTCTTTAGCATCTTTGCCTGGAAAGCACAGATAGCTTTCACTGAATCTTACAGGAGGCCATTCGCAGATGGGCAAAGGCAAATGACTTTCCCAAAGTTGGAGAAAAATGGTATCAGAATTGAAGTTTCCTCCTCCCCTCTCCCAGCACTATCGTTGTAATTTACTTTCGGATTTCATAGCCTCACTCTGGTGGATTTTATTATTGATTACAATCTTCAGTGGAAGAGAGAGAGAGAGCTTAAAACTACTTCTTAATCCCAGCTCCTATGTAGAATGGACACTGAAACAAATGGGAGTTACGTTTAACCACGGATCAGAGAATCAGGTAAAAGTAAATCATGAATCCAGCAGGAAAGCTGAATGACACTTCCCACCTAAATTTACCGACTAAGTACAAAAATGTCATATTAAAGTAATATTTTGAGTAGCTGCTGGTAACCCAAGTTTAGCTTTATTCATGAGGAACTGAATATAGATACCACAAAAAAAGGAGAGGTGAATTCAAAGTTCACAATCATTAAAAAATTAGTTCTGACTGGTTAAACTTTTAATCCTCTGCACAGCTGTATGTCACAGAGGCACAAACATCTTTACTACCAAATGTGCTTTGGAAGAGGTAGAGGTAGAAACTTATGTTGGTTAATCATTGGTCAAGCATTGGAACAAGCTGCTCAGGGAGGTGGTGGATTCATCATCCCTGAGGAGTTCAAAAAACATGTAGACATGACACTTCAGGACATGGTTTAGTGGGCATGGTGGTGTTGGGTTGATGGTTGGACTTGATGATCTTAGAGGTCTTTTCCAGCCTTAATGAATCTGTGATCTGTGATAACACATGAACACTAGAGCCAGGAACAGTGGGGCTTTGCTTTTTATTTAAAGCCACAATCAATAGACAAATCCAAGAGGCAAATTGGACTGAACTGAACAACAACTGAAACAAATCTGCCTGGGGCGAAGCAGAGAAGAGTTTGGTTTGTTGTTTTTTTTCTTTTCATCCTGTCTCATCGCTCAGTTAGATAATGGAGCAAAACAAAAGACAGGACTTTTTACTATTCAGAAGACTTAATCAGTTACAGTACTTGTAGTCTTGGAATATTTATCCCCTATATTGACACTGCCACCACTAGAAAAGGGCTCTGGGTGAGAAGCTGATTTCCCACTCAGAGCATTCCTTTTGCTGCTAAGGTTTTTTAGAAGAAACCCAAAGCACTGTGTTGATATTTTAATTACCTGAAGCCACAGAATCACAGAATCACAGAATCACAGA